CTCGCTCCCTTTCTCTTTATGTTCCCCTCCTCTCGCTGCTCAATTCTCTCTATCGGGCTGCGAACAGGTTATTTTAGGGTTATTTGCCTATGCTATTTTTTTCATTTTTTAAAATTTTTTTTGTATTCAAACTTTGATTTTCTGTCAGGCTGTATTGATTTTTTGTTGGTTTCAGATTCTAAGAATTTTCTGTCAGGCTGTATTCTAAGAATTTTTTCAAAGTTTAATTTTGGTTCATTATGGTGATTTGCTTGGGAAAAGAAATTGATATGCAATTCGTCTTTCCCTGATTAATTTTTTGATTTCTATTCAATAAACTTATATTATATGGATTATAAATGAGTTTGTATCTCTCCATCTCGGTTCAGATTCTAAATCTATTGGGTTAAGATTCTAAGATTTTTTTGAACTCTTAATCGTTGGGTGTTTGTTCCATTGAGTTGTTTTTTTTTTAAACTATTTCCACGCTCTATTTTTTTTTTTTTTAAATTTTGTATTCAAAGCTAGATTTTTTGTAATGAAAAAGTATTTGATTGCTAATGAAACTTAGAATCTATTGGTTCAGATTCTAAATCTGTTGGGTTCAGATTCTAAGAAGGCCAAGATTGAAAACACCCCCTAAATCCAAAAATATATTTTCAGCTCCCAAAACTCTCATCTATCTCCTTCTAATTGATGCCCTTTTCATGCTATCTATTTGCAAAACATTATGTTTTGTGTTCCATTGAGAAACCTGCGTGTTTTTCGATATTTTCTGAGTTTATATCTCTCCATCTGGTGTTTTTGTATCCTGTTTTTGTGTTCCATAGAAAAACCTGCCTGTTTTTCACTGGTTTACCCCCCAAAAAAACCCTTAATTGACTGGTAACTTTCGAAATAGTCCCTTATTCCATTTTAAAAAATTTTGAACTACTAATCAAACAGTTTCTGGGTTGCTAATTTTTTGGCTTGCTAATTGACTGTCAACTACTAAATTTTTAGAACCTGTTCTTGGTTTGAATTGCTAATTTTCTGGGGTAAACTGCTAATTTTTTAGACCCTATTTTGGGTTTGAACTGCTAATTTTTAAAAATTTTGAAATGCTAATTTTTTGGTTTGAGATTCTCACTATGATCAAGCCCTGTGTCAACTGGATATGCTCCATTTTAGTAGTCATCTTGGGCATGTAATTGATCGTATATCCATTGAGTGTTTTTTATTTTGTTGTGCATTGGTTATCTTGACTGGGGTGATCCTCCTAGAGTGATCCTCCTAGGGTCCTGTTAAAATTAAAATTTGATTTTTGTGAGAATTTACCCAAATTAAGGAATCTCATGAATATCAATTTATTTATGTGTCTTTGCAGCAGAATGTTCATGTTCATGTTCATGTTCATGTTCAAATTTTGATTACCATAGCAAACTTGAAATAAACTGTTGTTAATTAAACTCAACTCATCTCAATCTAATACCCATCCAAGAACCAAGAACTACATTAGTTTTAGTTTTTGAACTGGTTGTGCTATCCATTGAGTGCAGAACACCATATACTGTACACTGATAGTTTTTATTTTGTTGTACACTGGTTAGTTTTCCAATTTTCTGTAGAGCACCATTGAGTGTTTTTCTCATTACCATAGATTGGTTTTTTCATCCTTTCATCTCCCCATTATTCTTCATTGTTCTATTCTTGGAACATTTTGATGTACAATATATATAGATATATATGTTGAAAGAAAAAGAGAGAATATTTGAAAGTCAACCAAAATAATTCCAAGAATTCCTAGATTCTAAAATGAATAAGCAGAGCATTGTTAGGCATAATTTTGCTAGATAACATGCACACAAGGAATATATGCATTTTTCTATGAATGTAAAATCAAATAATTAGCAATTTGAATAGTAAGTGCCTGTATTAGGGAAAAAACCCTAACTTATCAAATTTCTTTTCTTATTTAAATTTTCATTCTTTTGGAGAGGGGAGGGCAAGGAAGGGGAGGGGTGCTTCATTTTTTTAGGCAAGTTTAATAGAATTTACCTTAGCCAGTTATACCATCAATAGAATGTACCCTTATTCCAACCAATTCATAAGAATAACTACTAGAAAGAAGAGGAGGTTGGGATGGGAATCAAATAATTGTGATTGCCTGTGATGGTACTTCCTGGGCCTCTCCCCTTTACTTTTTCATTGTAAAGTATTTGATTGTATATCATTTAATAATATTGGACTAGACTGCTGATTAAGCCGCCCTGGTGCCATCTCTATCAGATGTTTGATTCCATCACTGTTGTTTGTAGGAATACAATGACACCTTATTGATTAGTTACTTGGCCATGTTCACCAACTGCTCAAGGTATGAATTTTGTTGTCTTGGATGGAAATTCATTTTTTCTCCTGACCAGGAAAAAAATCAAATTTATTGCTACACTTCCAATTCCTTGGGTTTTTTATTTTTATTTTTAAGGGGGTGTGGGTTGTTTATATGGTTGGTTTTGAGTTGGGTGGCATGAAGAATGAAACCTAAATAGTGGATCAAATGTATGAAATATTGTCTTCAGGATTGATTTTTGCCATTTGATCTCAATCAAAACCTTTTGACTGTGTGAAGTAAGAAGGTTGCTAAACCAAGAATATTGTCAGTTCCTCCTCCATGTAATATTTTATTTTTATATTTACGTAATAATAATACAAGACATGAAAACCCTGTCTCATAATCCGTTGGCAAAACCTATATCCATTCTTGTATGAATCCTATGGCCTTGCATCTATTCATTTATCTATTCGTATGTGTTTTTGCTTTTTGAGTTGTATATATTAGTTTTGACTTGCAGCAATTTGATATTTATTTGTAACTACTAATTTTTATCTTTATTTTTTTGGAAGTACTACAGATTTCTATACACTGGGATTTATTTAGTTTGAAATCAATCTACAAATAGATTGAAAATCTTCAACATATTTTCAATCTTCAATCTCCAAGAGTTGGTAATAAAGTTTTTTTAAATGTTCAACATATTTTCTACTAGGACATTTGAACAGCTCAGATCTTTTCAAACTACAAAATAATGGCTATGATGTATTCAATGTGTACATTTTCTACTTTCTCGCTTTTCTCTCTTACTTTTTTCTTTTTTCACCCACCCTCCCATGATGCCAAGAATAATTCCATAATCCTACCTTCCTCCTTTTCTTTTTATTTTTTTTTATTCCCCATTTTTTATTTTCCTCCCTATTTTTTTGTTTTTTTGTTTTCTTATTTTTGTTCACTTATTTTTATTTACACCATACCTTTAGGCACGGGCATACACTAGTATTTATATATGACACTAATCTACCAATCAATTTAGACAAACATCTGACAGATTTTTCTTAGTTTTCTTTTTCCTTTTTTTTTTTTTCCTTTCCCCTCTATTTTTTTCCACAGCTTGTTTTAGTAAACCCTAAGGCCCCGTTTGTTTGGGGTTAAATAGATGTGAGGGGATTAGGATGGATGTGGGGTTATTTAGTGTTGTGTTTGTTTGTAGAGTTGGAGAGAGGATTAGGATGGAGGAGGTGATATACATGGAGGTTGGAAGGGAGATTGAGATGGAGGCAGTGGAAATAGTATTAGAAAAATAGTGAGGGAATTAGAATTTTTTTTATTTTTTATTTTTTATATATTATTAATGTTTAATTTTTTATATTTTTTTATTTGTTTTATTATTTTATATAAAAATAATTTAATAATTCTTACACTAACAACTATCATCAAAACAAACACAATTTTACTTAATCCCCTCACTATCAATCCCCTCCATTCTACCTTTGAAAACAAATGGGGCCTGAGGGCAATGTGTTGGAAATGCTTAATCAATCAAAGATATTAGAGTCCTTTGGATCTAAACGGCTCTACCTGACAGTTGGAGAAGCCATCGCAGCTGTTTTGTCTTTAGAGAGGTCTCAACCATGAATTACAAAAAGCAGCCAATAATGAGGAATAAGATTAATAATAAAGGCCAGATACTATAGTGAGCCACACTCAGCTTCTCCAATTCTATGTTTATAGGTGAGATGAGAAGAGAATTTGGTGAAAGAGACAAAGAAAATAAGGGATAAAAGGAGGAGAAAACCTAATTGTTTTCTCTTGTGTAGAGGGAAAGGAAAGAGAGGGCAATATCTACATGCGGTTTAAGTGCTAACACTTCGTGGTTTGCTTTTATGTAGAATCAAGCTTCCCCGGACAAAACCTAATTGTTTTCTCTTGTTTGGTTGAGTAGAGGGAAAGGAAAGAGAGGACAATATCTACATGCTGTTTAACACTTCGCGGTTTGTTTTGTTGTACTTCTGAACTCTCCTCTTTCAAGATGGAAATTTTTTAAATTATTCAATTTTACCTTTTCCTTTCTCACCTCAGAACAAAGGAAGGGAAAATTTTAAAGCATTTTCACTTCCTATCTCCTCTTCTCATTTACCTAACAATGCATAAAAATTGGGTCTTTTCGTAAAGATAACAATGAGTCTGAAAAAAAAAATTAAACTAACTAAAAAAATTTATCAAAAGGTTTTCAAAATTTTGAAATAGACTTAGGCCTCGTTTGGGAACCCTCCATTTTAACCAAAAAGTCAAAAAGTTACTAAATTAGCCAAAAAGCCAACAATCTATACTAAAAAGTCAAAGATTCTCTTTTCTCTTTACTTTTTGCACATCTTTTCGTAAAAAGCCAAAAAGCCAAAAAGTCATCCCCCACATACTAGTTTTTTTTAGCTCATATTTTAGCTAAATAGCCAAAAAATTACTAAATTAGCCTGTTCTCAAACGAGGCCTTAAAGGTGTGATAAAATTGCAATCTAAAGTTTCCTGTGCGCGCACACACACAGGATGGAAGGGAAGAATCGTTAAAAAGCAAACCACACAGCATAACATTGCCTGAGCTTCGTCCATTTTGGGAAAACCATGATAAGAACACAAGCTCAAAAATGGTTAAAAAGCAAACCCAAAAAAAAAAAAAAAAAAAAGATCAAGCAACTCGGAGCAATTTATGTGGCCATATACAACAAGAAGATTGCCATTTTGATATGCAGATCTGAGTGCTCAACAAAGTGATTTTAAAGAATATAAGGCCAAACCAAAAGCATTGGACATATCCACATCAGCACAACAAAACACAAACTCTTTCAAAGCTATCCAAATTATACATGCAAAAGCAATTGATACCTTACCTAGTTCTACTCCTCTGACTGCATGTGTCAGCACTTATTGTTATGACCTGCCATTGCCACCGGCAGAGAAAATTCATTCTATCTAGAAGGCTTCAAGTAATACTCTAATAAAAGATTGAATTTGGGATCTGTTGAGCTTTATCCAGGAATTTCTCCAAAGCAAAGAAAAAGCAGCAATTATGAGCTTGCATTGATTGTTCTTGCCCGTTGAGTTTCCCTGGTCAGTTAAACAACTGCATAGAAATGCTCCCAAATTAGTTATTCAGACATTGTAGTTAATATAAAATCGCTCCACGTACATAGTGCAGCCAAGTATGCACGTGACTGGTCCAAAAACAATGATTCAATAGTAAGTTAAAACCAAAATAATTATGATGCTTCAACTGCCCAAATCAAGGGCTCTTGCACCGTAACCAAACAAAATACTAATATGAAAAACAGATGCTTCAACAAACCATCCAAACAATGATGGAAATATGTGAGGCTTAGAATTCCAACTAATCCATTTGAATCAAGATTCAAAACCACAAAATCTTATGTTCACGAAAATAATAGTGGAAGATATTTATCATAGTATGGGATGACAACCTAGAAAGCTTAACAGTCTTGCTCATCAAACAGCACAGACCACGCATGTAGTGAGGCTCCTTCAGCAACACTCACCAACTCACACATTTTTCCTTGCCTTTCTTTTTTGGTCAAATAAAGCACCAAATAATTGTGGATTCCATGATTTCATTTGTTCCAACTTACTATAATCAAAAAGGTTGTCAACGATATTAGTAAACCTCATGATTCAAATGTTGAAGAAATGAGGTGGAATTCACCACCAGCAGTTAAAACATCATCTTACTTAACTTTCAGGTGTCGATTCGATTAGGTGATTTTCTCTTTGACCAAACAAGATTTAGCAATTAACTAATATAAATCCTTGACTTCATTAAACAATCTTATATATGCTTTCATGTGGAGGTTCTATTCTCCAATTTACTAACACTGACTGACCATGAGACTAGGATCAACCTCCGTGTACAAATCACTTGAGTAAATACTCAAGAATGCAGAGACATCATTCAAATAAAATATCCAGGATGTCCTTATTCCAGTATACACTGCATAATGCGAAAATAGCCATAATGCAATATGGTCCTCAGAAGTCCCTCATGAGAATCAAAAATCACTGGAACAAAATAACAACTAGTTGTGCCCTCATTTAGAAGTAATACAAAACATAGGCATGTACATGCCAGTGCCACTAGCATGTTGGTACAATTTGTAAGCAATTCATTATAAGGTGAAGATGGAATAATTATATAATCAGCAACAGATCCCAAGAAAGCAAAACACTAAAAACAAAATAAATAAATAAAAATAGAAATTGAGGAATGAAAATTTTGACCAAAAGAAAGCGAGGACAAAGAGACAAGTGAAAACAAAGAGATCTCTTCTTCATGATATGTCTACATATGTAAGGAAAAAAATTTGAAAAAAATCAACATTAACTTACTTGAACGATATCTCGTTATGGGTATTTCTCGCAGCTCACGTCTTATGCACAGGTATTCACCTAATAATGCCATCACTGCAAGTCCAGTACCATTCACAACCCACCATGTAATTGATGATGGCCAACCTCCATTTACGATGCATATAAAGAGATGGATGATATAGAGGGTGGCTGAAAAATCTAAGCATTTCTTTGCCCTCTCAATCAAATGAAGCATATAAACAGATCTGCTTGAAAAAAATAGGAAATGTCCAAGTTAACAAGAATATATGTGTGAACTCTTTATCATGAACCATTATGAATGCTCTAAATACTCTTTCCAAATAAAAAAATCAGTATGCACAACAATATATTATGTTAGACTTTGAAGAACTAGAGTAACAGGAACCATTTCTCCCTTCTGGGTAAGTAAAACATATATTAATGAAAGAGATATACATGTTATGAGTAGCTGGCAGCAAGAGACAGAATTGGTATGCAGTTTTGCAGTTCAAGGGTTCGTTGCATTACCTTAACTAAACTAAACTGTATATCACCAGTGAAGACAATCTTTCTCTCTCTCTCTCACACACACACACACATTAAATAGGACTCCTAAACTCATATAACTCAACTCCATCAATATAAGACTCCTTAAGCTTGCTTTCTGCCTCTCCAACCATCCAACCCTTTTTCCTCCCAACCCAAGATGCTAATTCAAAAATGGATGAGTTGCTAGAGAGTGACAATAGAACTAGAAATGCAATGGCATTTCAAGAACATGAGAAAAAGTTACTTGCAGAAATTTAGTCATATGCAACAGGTGACCTGTGACTGCACTTTCAAGTGTTTCATACGCAACAAAAACCAATGGCTAAATTTGTAGGCAGAAGTAAAAGGCTAAAGTGAAAGAGAGATACTTGTGAAGGTTTGATCATATGCATAACACTTGTAGGACAGAAGTTGGGCAGATACGAGAACAAAGTACAACCCCAAATGTAAGTTCTCGAGCACCCAAGGCTACCAAACAACAACATGATGACTCCAAATTTTTTTTTTTAATTTTTTTTGATTGGCATTGGGGTGTCCAGATTCAAAGCCCAATTAATCCTCAGGGGCTCACAAGCCCTTGCAAGGAGTATTCAACAAGTGCACCATAGTTAATTTACGAGTTTTTTCCCAATCCGATGGCCAAGAAATTGTTAGCACCTAAAAGATTTCAATCCCTAAATCTTGAAGAGAGCAAATATCTAAGACCCCAGGCCTTGGCCCCTGACCAACCCCTTGCGGTTATGATGACTCATAGTTTAACAACAAAATCACCGAAACATATTGATTTAATAGTCCCAATATGGCTTGGTTCAATTCAATTGAATCACTTTTAAACTTCCTTAACTATAAAACGTCTACCCATTTACTATCAAATTGCAAAACATAGTAATTGAAATTTCAATAATCAAAAAAAAAAATATTACAAACCATACAATACAGAAGTTCAAGAAACCTATTAAAAAGAAAAATGAAGTACAGAACACAAATAAATTAGTGAGAAACAACGAAAAAGAAGATGATTCTCACCCGGCAAGCGAGCTGAGTAGAATTGAAGCAATAACACACCAACCAGTAACAGTGGAAGCAGAAACAGTAGCATAATCAAAGAAATACACAAGACTCAGTCGAGAAACGCGAGTCCCAACAAGAATTCCCAAAAGAAATCCAAGTGTTAGATAGTATAAGCATTGAAGGCAAACAATTTGGGCAACAATGAGCCATGGATCCCACACCACCGAACCATAGAACATGACTTGAAATCCCTTTTCAAAAAGAACCCAACTTTCCCAATTCCACAAAACTGAGGAATCCAATCCTTCAAACTTGATAGTTCAAAAATTCCGATCTAAACCCATATTTGTATGGATTTGATATGAACCAAAATCAACTGATCTTCGAGAATTATCAAACCAAGACACGAGATTTGGGGATTCGGGCCGTGGAAGCTTCAGATTCAACAGAGGTCTAATCGATTGAATGAATTGAGAGAGAGAGAGAGAGAGAGCGAGCGAGAGAGAGAGATTGGGTTTTTTTTTTTTTTAACTTATTTGGGAAGATGGTAAAAAATGATTTTTTTTTTTTTTTTTTTTTTGGCTTTTACTGTCGTTTTGAGAACAAAATAAAAAGTTACGTTTTTGAATAAAATGTTCAAAAATATAAGTGTCAAAAACGTAACAAAATTGATTTGGAAAATGTCAAAAATGTAAGTGTAAAATTATAAATTAGGGTCTATCACAAAAAAATAAAAAAATAAATTTCTTATATTGGGTAAAGATATTTTGGTCATTTTAATTTGATTTGACACCATAAATAAATATTAAATTAAAAACAAAAAGTCAAATTTTTACCAACTTCTCAAATCATTTTTTAAAAAGCTAAAAAGCTTGGTAAAAAATTAAAAATCAGCTTTTTACCAACTTTCCAAAACACCCCTTAATAAAGTCAAGTTTGGGAAGTCTCAAATAATCCATTTTTTTATCATTTTATCTTTTTTTATCACATCACCTCTCTACTTTTCAGCACATCTTTTCGTAAAAAGATAAAAAATACACTTATTTAGGCCATTCCAAACAATCCCTAAGTTTTTGATTTTTTAAGATAAATGATTTGAGAAATTGGTGAAAAGTTGTTTTTGATTTTTTTTATTAATATTTATTTATGACGTCAAATCATAATAAAATAATAAAATTATTCTTATTTATTTAAAATATTTACAACTTTATCGATGTAATACATTTTGATTCATAAAAATTAAAATTGTAATTTTGTCATTAATTAAAAACTAACTTCTCAAATAAAAAATTAAAAAAAAAATCTAACTTTTAACTGTTACTACTAACTTAAATAAGTAGTTAAAAGCCATGTTGCCAAAACATTCATTTGTGTTTCTTTCTCTTGCGTTTACAATTAGATTGCGTGCAGACTAGAGAACCCCAGGGCCAACAAGCCGAGCAATGCACCGAGTCGCTAAAATCACTGAGGGACTCGCGGGTTGTTTGAGGTGTCTTAAATGAGTGTATTTTTTATTTTTTTAGATTAAAAAATTAAAAAAAAATATGAATATTTAGGTTAATTTTTTAACTTTTTATAAAAAAATATGTATTAAAAAATTGTATAAATAAGTGTATAAGAGAATAAAGTGATGGAATAGGCCGTACGGTTGGAAGCCTAACGGCAGCGCGAGGCAGTGTAGGAGATTGATTCTCTATTTTTTGAGCATAAATTGGTTGGTTCTGTTCGGCCTATAGGGGGCCACCACGAGTCCTATTTTACTAATCGGAACCGTTCAATTTGTAGAACTCGTCGAGTACTATATGCTTAAAAAAATCACGTTGATTGGATATTGATAACTATCTGATCGACTTAGTTTTTGTTTGTTAACTGTTAATTATAACGCCATCCATTTTTATACAAAACTGATTTGATCATATATTTAGCGATATTCGATAGACGTGATTTTTTACAGACATATAGTATAGACGAGTTCTATATATTCAACGGTTCAAATTATCAAAACGGGACCTATGGTGAGTCCCTATGGGCCCAACTCTACTATCCAATTTAGTGAATATGTTACTATAATTTTTTTTTCCAATCACTGACTCCACCATCACGTCAGTGGGGTTTTTTTGATTTGTATTAATATGTGTTTAATATTTTTTTTAGTGAATAATGATAATTTTTTAATTTTTTAAATAATTTTTTAATTTTTTGACTTTTTAAAGAATTGCCAAATCAGCCCTCAGTTTGGGGTGACTCATGCGAGTGTGGGGTTTTATTTTATTTTTCAAAAGCTTCTAAAAGCATAAAAAAATGTTTGTAGCGCACCCAATTCTTTATTTTTATTTTAGAACTCTAGTATTATATTAATCAAGTTATCAAAAATTTAAAATTTAAAATCTAAAGTTTTGGCCACTGTAGACATTACATTCCCCAGTCCCGCTTGACTTTCCTTTTTAGGTGACATTTGTTTGACTTTCGCATGGTGAAATTGAGGGTGTGAATTAGTGTGACGATATTAGATTGAAAATATAAGATAAAAAATATTTGTTCGTATATCACTAAGTGTTATTTTAGGAATATGGTAAAAAGTCACGTTTTTAGATAAAATATTTAAAAATGTGACTGTCAAAAATGCCAGAAAAGTCATTTGGCAAGTGTCAAAAACGCAGTCGTAAAATTATAAATTAAGACCTATGAAAAAAAAATAAAAAAAATAAATCTCTTATGTTAGGTAAGGGTATTTTGGTCATTTTAATTTGATTTGACACCATAAATAAATATTAAACTAAAAAGTAAAAAGCCAACTTTTTACCAACTTCCCAAATCACTTCCAAAAAAGTCAAAAAACTTGATAAAAAGTCAAAAGTCAACTTTTTACCAACTTCCCAAAAAAATCCTAAATTAATAATACTATTGATATTAGAAAAGTAATATTTTTTTATTTCCAGTATTTTTTTAATATTATAATTTTATTTTATTTTTGTACTTTTTAAATCCAGTTAATTTATAGACACTTAAAAAATATAAATTTTGAGTAAAAATCATTTAAAAATTCACTAAATATATAAAAATCGTATGTTTTTATTATTTATTTAAATTTTTAAATATTTCTTTCACAAATAAATTATTTGGAAAAAAATAATATTAAAAATATTTTAATCCATCTTATTTAATAAACTAATCAATGCAACTTTTAAAAATAAAATAAAATAAAAATATATGAAATTTCATAAATATTCTTCTTCTACCCTTTTATATGATGTAGGACAAGCACTACAACAAAAAAAGATTTTTGGGGCCCGCCTTGCACGCTGTAAAAGCCTTTCTATGGCGTGAAACGTAACGTCATATGGACCAGTCATAAAAAGTCATGCACTTTCAATGACTTGCCATAGTACGCTGTTAAAAATTACACGTCGTTAATTTGTGGGACAAATAACAACGCTGATTGTGCGCCGTTAAATATGTGATACGACTTACAACTTGCTCAGCCTGCCATAGATAAGTAGAACATACCACTACATACATGGAATGTTGTAGAATATGTCATATAATGACCTAATTTACTTGCCGTAAAATGTGCAGTATTATTATTATTATTTTTAATTTAGCAGGGTTCTATTTTGATTTGTTTTGTACAATCTAACAAACATTACAAACAAACTTCACAAAATATTAATAAACCACCAAAATATTGTTTCAAGCATAAAAATAAACTATATTCATAAATTATGAACATTCAAAAATTATCAATATATACATTCTAAAAAAAAAAAACTATCCTTAAATTTTAATTATCCAAAAAGTTTTAAACTGTCCAAAAACTGTGCCATACATAAGTTTCTAAACAAAAGGCACATTGACTTTGACATGGTTAACCCATACTTTCCACCACCCAAGGCCAAGAAGCTCCATTCTCTAGATTGTCTTGACTTCAATCACAAATTTTGATTCCTCCACCTAATCACAACACAAAGAAAATGAAACTGGAGAAGGCCATAAGTAAATGAAACTTTATTAAACAAGAGAAAGAGAATAGATTGACAAAAAAATTACCAAAACTGAAATTACATTTTTTTGTGAAAAAAGACAGATTGATTGTCAGACAATGGCATCACACAAAATACCAAAAGCAAACTGACTTTTAGGAAGCAACACAAAAAAGGGGCCAAAAGTAGAAAATGCAGTGTAGTTTCAGTTATGCTTCCCAACTCCTTGCTGAGCCTCATCTTCAGAAACAAGCTAAGCCAAACACCCACTGCTTTAGTGCCTCTGTCTCAAACAATATGGGTTGTACCTCTATTGGCTTTCCTCACCAATCCTATTTTCTCTGTGATTATTAATCATAAAGTCATGACCATAAAAGATTTTTCAAAGAAATTTTCCAGTAGGTGATGAGGTCTGCATTTATTGGTTTAGGTGCCTCTACAAAACAACAGAGAATATTTTGAACCATGGAAAGACCCAAAAAAAAAAAAAGTCACACTAATTATCATCTGCTTGTGTGTATGATTTTTTCAAAAGCAAGGGAGAGAGAAGGGAAGTTTCATGTCACGGTTACACCAACTTGGAATTGATTAATGGTTATAATGCAGTGGAATTCTCATATTAAGTGAGTTGTAAAGTCTTCACAAAAATTCTAGAGATTCTGATCCGTTATTCATAGTTTGCCACTATACGAAATTTCAGGCAAAAAATAGAAATTCCCTCTATGTTTCTAAGGGTACAAAACTGAAAACAAATCAAATTTCATAATATTTCTTTTTTGGTTTTGATCAGCAAATCAAATATCATAATTCCTAATAGGATTTTCAGTAGCATGATAAAAGGCTTTGGGGCTGTAGAAATTATATAAACAAATGAGGAAGCAACAATAGAGCAGTGCAGCAATAAAAGAATGCTTGTGGAAACAATAAAACTCCCCCGCAAAGAATTCCTAAACCGAGGCAAAACATCATACTGTATCCAAAATAGAAGCTGGTCTGGAAGAAGCCTGACATCTTAGTCTTCACATAGTAGTAATATATTGAATACAAGTACACGTAGACAGCTGTTGATGCAGCGGAGAAGAATGAAGTCCACTGCCAGTGATAGTTCTCAGCATTTAGCAAGAAATACGTGCCCACAATTGTAACACAAACCGTAACAATAATGAGAATCAGAAAAACCAGCAGCATAAAGCCATAAACATAGTACACCTGTCAAGTAAAAAAGATCAAAAACATATCATTAAGCTCTGACTAAACACTTGATTAAAAAGAATGGGTGGATCTTTTCTTCCAAAGCTTCTTTTTTTTTTTCTATTGGCAACAGACATTTAAATAATTCAAAGCAACATCAAAAATGGACTGCTAGATGCAAACAATCGAACTGTGGTGAATAGGGCCAACCCGACTTAAGGGTTGAAGCTGTCAAATTGTGCAGCCACCATATGCTTTAAATTGGCCACAACAAAATCTATTCACCTCTTCCTAGTCATGGTTGTTAAAATCGCGATCCGGATCGTAGGATCGTACAATCCTACGATCCTACTTTGCCAAAACGATCCAGAAAAAAAAAAAAAAAAAAAAAAAAAAAAAAAAAACCCAATAAAATTTACAAACCATACAATACAGAAGTTCAAGAAACCTATTAAAAAGAAAAATGAAGTACAGAACACAAATAAATTAGTGAGAAAAAACGAAAAAGAAGATGATTCTTACCCGGCAAGCGAGCTGAGTAGAATTGAAGCAACAACACACCAACCAGTAACAGTGGAAGCAGAAACAGTAGCATAATCAAAGAAATACACAAGACTCATTCGAGAAACGCGAGTCCCAACAAGAATTCCCAAAAGAAATCCAAGTGTTAGATAGTATAAGCATTGAAGGCAAACAATTTGGGCAACAATGAGCCATGGATCCCACACCACCGAACCATAGAACATGACTTGAAACCCCTTTTCAAAAAGAACCCAACTTTCCCAATTCCACAAAACTAAGGAATCCAATCCTTCAAACTTGATAGTTCAAAAATTCCGATCTAAACCCATATTTGTATTGATTTGATATGAACCAATATCAACTGATCTTCGAGAATTATCAAACCAAGACACGAGATTTGGGGATTCGGGCTGTGGAAGCTTCAGATTGAACAGAGGTCTAATCGATTGAATGAATTGAGAGAGAGAGAGAGAGAGTGATTGGTTTTTTTTTTTTTTTTTTTGGGCAATGGTAAAGGGTCACAATTTTTGTAGTTTAAATGGTTCAAAATTATCAAAACGATGTCGTTTTGAGCACAAAACATGTCAAAACGACGTCGTTTTGACAGTTTTGAGTCATTTGAGCCATAAAAATTGTGGCCCTCAAACATTATTTTTTTTTTTTGGCTTATGGTAAAAAGTGATTTTCTTTTTACTTTTAATAAGTTTTTGGTTTTTTAAGATAAATGATTTGAAAAGTTGGAAAAAGTTTGTTTTTGACCTTTTTTTTTTATTAATATTTGTTCATAACATTAAATCATAATAAAATGATCTAATTATTCTTATTTATTTAAAATATTTATAACTTCATCAATATAATACATTTTGACCTATAAAGAATAAAATTATAATTTTACTATTAATTAAAAATCAACTTCTCAAATGAAAAAAAAAAAATCAACCTTTAACTTTTACTGCTACCTTAAATAAGTAGTTAAAAGCCATGTTGCGTTTCTTTCTCTTGCGTTTACAATTAGATTGCGTGCAGACTAGAGAACCCCAGGGCCAACAAGCCGAGCAATGCGCCGAGTCGCTAAAATTTCTGAGCGACTCACTGGTAGTTTGAGGTATCTTAAATAAATGTATTTTTTTATTTTTTTGGATTAAAAAATTAAGAAGAAAAATATAGATGTTTGAATTAATTTTTTTGACTTTGTATAAAAAAAATGTGTATTAAAAAATTATATAAATAAGTGTATAGGGGAATAAAGTGATGGAATAGGCAGTACGGTTGGAAGCCTAAAGGGCAACGCGGCAAGGGCAGTATAGGAGATTGATTCTCTACTTTTCAAGCATAAATTGGTTGGTTCTGTTCGGCCCATAGGGGCCCACCACGGGTCCCGTTTTACTAATCGGAATCGTTCAATTTGTAGAACTCGTCGAGTACTATATGCTTAAAAAAAATCACGTTGATTGAATATTGATAACTATTTGATTGAGTTAGTTTTTTTTTGTTAACTGTTAATTATAACACCATCTATTTTTATACAAAACTGATTTGATCATGTATTTAGCGATATCCAATAGACGTAATTTTTTACAGACATGTAGTACTAGACAAGTTCTATATATTAAACGGTTCAAATTATCAAAACGGGACCCATAGTAGACCCTCGCAGGCCCAACTATACCATCCAATTTAATAAATATTTTACTATAATTTTTTTTCTCCGATCACTGACTCCACCATCACGTCAATGGAGCTTTTTTTTATTTGTACTAATGCGTATATCATTTTTTTAATATTTTTTTTAATAAATAATGATAGCATTTTAATTTTTTAAATAACCTTTTGACTTCTAAATTTTTTGAAGGGTTGTCAAACTAGCCCTCAGTCTGGGTGACTCATGCGAGTGCGGGGTTTTATTTTATTTTTCAAAAGCTTCTAAAAACATAAAAAAATGTTTGTAGCACACCCAATTCTTTATTTTTATTTTAGAACTCTAGTATTATATTAATCAAGTTATCAAAAACTTAAAATTTAAAATCTAATCCCCAGTCCCGCTTGACTTTCCTTTTTAGGTCACATTTGTTTGACTTTCGTATGGTGAAATTGGGGTTGTAAATTATTAGTGTGATAATATTAAATTAAAAATATAAAATAAAGAGTATTTATTTATATATCACTAAATTAATAATACTATTGATATTATTAAAGAAAAGTAATATATTTTTATTTCCGGTATTTTTTTAATATTATAATTTTACTTTATTTTTGTACTTTTTAAATCCAGTTAATTTATAGACACTTAAAAAATATAAATTGAGTAAAAATCATTTAAAAATTTACTAAATATATAAAAATCATATTTTTTTTATTATTTATTTAAATTTTTAAATATTTCTTTCACAAATAAATTATTTGAAAAAAAATAATATTAAAAATATTTTAATCCATCTTATTTAATAAACTAGCCAATGCAACTTTTAAAAATAAAATAAAATAAAATAAAATAAAAATATATGAAATTTCATAAATATTCTTCTTCTATCCTTTTATTTGATGTAAGACAAGCACTACAATAAAAAAAAAGTTATTGGGGCCCGCATTGCATGCCGTAAAAGCCTTTCTGCAACGTGAAACGTAACGTCATATTATGACTAGTCATAAAAAGACATTCACTTTCAACGGCTTGCTATAGTACACCGTTAAAAATTATTTAACAGCAAATCTTGTGGCGTTTTTACTTGTTCTACGACTATTTTTGCACGTCGTTAATTTATGGAGCAAATAACAACGCTGATTGTGCGCCGTTAAATATGTGATACGACTTGCTCAGCCTGTCATAGATAAGTAGAACATATCACAACGCTCGTAAAATGCTGTGGAATATGTCATACAATGACCTAATTTGCTTGCCGTAAAATGTGCATTATTATTTTATTTTAATTTAATTTAGCATGGTTCTATTTTGATCTGTTTTGTACAATTTAACAAACATTACAAACAAACTTCACAAAATATCAATAAATCACCAAAATATTGTTTCAAGCATAAAAATAAACTATATCCATAAGTTATGAACATTCAAAAATTATCAATATATACATTCCAAACATCCAAAAACTAACCTTAATTCAAAACCATCCAAAGAGAACTATCCTTTGTCCAAAAAGTTTTAAACTGTCCAAAACCTATGCCATACATAAGTTTCTAAACAAAAGGCACATTGACTTTGACAGGTTAACCCCTACTTTCCAACACCCAAGGCCAAGAAGCTCCATTCAATGGATTGTCTTGGCTTCAATCACAAATTTTGATTCCTCCACCTAATCACAACACAAAGAAAATGAAACTGGAGAAGGCCATAAGTAAATGAAACTTTATTAAACAAGAGAAAGAGAATACATTGACAAAAAAAAATACCAAAACTGAAATTACATTTTTTTGTGAAAAAAGACAGATTGATTGTCAGACAATGGCATCACACAAAATACCAAAAGCAAACTGACTTTTAGGAAGCAACACAAAAAAGGGGCCAAAAGTAGAAAATGCAGTGTAGTTTCAGTTATGCTTCCCAACTCCTTGCTGAGCCTCATCTTCAGAAACAAGCTAAGCCAAACACCCACTGCTTTAGTGCCTCTGTCTCAAACAAAATGGGTTGTACCTCTATTGGCTTTCCTCACCAATCCTATTTTCTGTGTCATTATTAATCATAAAGTCATAGCCATAAAAGATTTTTCAAAGAAATTTTCCACTAGGTGATGAGGTCTGCATTTATTGGTTTAGGTGCCTCTACAAAACAACAGAGAATATTTTGAACCATGGAAAGACCAAAAAAAAAAAAAAGTCACACTAATTATCATCTGCTTGTGTGTATGATTTTTTCAAAAGCAAGGGAGAGAGAAGGGAAGTTTCATGTCACGGTTACACCAACTTGGAATTGATTAATGGTTATAATGCAGTGGAATTCTCATATTAAGTGAGTTGTAAAGTCTTCACAAAAATTCTAGAGATTCTGATCCGTTATTCATAGTTTGCCACTATACGAAATTTCAGGCAAAAAATAGAAATTCCCTCTATGTTTCTAAGGGTACAAAACTGAAAACAAATCAAATTTCATAATATTTCTTTTTTGGTTTTGATCAGCAAATCAAATATCATAATTCCTAATAGGATTTTCAGTAGCATGATAAAAGGCTTTGGGGCTATAGAAATTATATAAACAAATGAGGAAGCAACAATAGAGCAGTGCAGCAATAAAAGAATGCTTGTGGAAACAATAAAACTCCCCCGCAAAGAATTCCTAAACCGAGGCAAAACATCATACTGTATCCAAAATAGAAGCTGGTCTGGAAGAAGCCTGACATCTTAGTCTTCACGTAGTAGTAATATATTGAATACAAGTGCACATAGACAGCTGTTGATGCAGCAGAGAAGAATGAAGGCCACTGCCAGTGATAGTTCTCGGCATTTAGAAAGAAATATGTTCCCAAATTGTTACACAAACCGTAACAATAATGAGAATCAGAAAAACCAGCAGCATAGAGTGGTAGACATAGTACACCTGTCAAGCACAAAGAGGGGAAAGAAAGGGAATGGGGTTTCAGTTTTCTTTATTTATTTGTATTTCCTTGCTAATAATGCCCAAGTGAACGCACTAAAGCCATTAAAAGCATTGGTATAATGTTGTAACATTTTACCTTGTAATTCCAGAATGATGTGAAGACAAAATACATCTCAATGAATATGCTGCCAAAGGGAAGTAGTCCTCCCATCATAGAAACAAGAGAAATATGATATAGTTATAACTTAGGAAGAGTAGGTCTTTTGCGCTATACTTTATATGGTGTTTTCAAAAATCAAGGGTGGCCATGGCACCCCCTAGCTGCCTTCTCTCTTCCGAGTAAATATTGAATTATTCAATAAGTAATTTTATTTTACCATAGAGACAACAAACACAAAATTATTGAGAGACGAGACTTATTCATCTAACCTCATTTGCAACCTTTTTAGTTGACCGAGTATTTCACTCAATATTTTCTCCAGAAATTATTTGTTGGCCATATCACTTAACCATTGTTAAGTTGTCTCTCAAAAATCTAACAATAATTATATAAGACGGAACATCACATAAATTTGTTACAAGACCATCAAATAATTTTCCCTTCACCCTGCCATTACTGTTACTTTTAACCAATTGGTTAACTATCTTATAGCAGAGGGAGGATTTGTTTGTGGTATACATGCAGTTTCAGGCAACTGATGTGACTGTGTTACCTCTTCAGAACTTGGTTGTTGATTTAACCAACCTTGCCACCGTCTTCTCAATTTTAAGGTCTCGAGAAGAATAGCGGTCCCACTCATTGCGCCTCCAAATCCAGCAAGCGTCGCAAGAAGAACTGAAAGCACAGCCTGCACATGAAGCAATAACTCCCACACAAACATATAGAAACATTTAGGTTCCACTTGGATAAATGAATTTCAAATGAATGGATTGACTATTATAGATAGATTAAGAAACTAAATGGTAGAGTAAGATGAGAAGTATATTATTATGATCTTTGTACAACTGTAATCTTTTAGCACAGGATTTCAACATGTTGTCGTTCTCTTTGCTCACCTTTTCTATTCACTGGTAAAAGTCACTTAAGTGAAGATAGAAATAAATGATTTATTCAAGCAATGGAACTGACCTAGTTGAAGTTGGTGTCAAAATGTTTTTATGTTGTAAGAGTTTTATATTGATCTTCCAGAACTTTTCTGTTATCCTAATTGACTTAGGCCTAGTTTGGGAAAACTAAATAAGTACACTTTTTGACTTTTTATGAAATATGGGTTGGGTTTGAAGTGATGTGTAAGAGAGGTGATGCGACTTAAATAAGATGATGTGACTTAAATAGGATAGTTACTTTTTGACTTTTTGACTTTTTGTCTTTTTTCAATCATGCCAAACTTGGCCCTATTTAAATCCATCTTTCAATTCAATCTTGAAATCCAGATATGAACCATCATGACTAAATTTGCCTATTCTCTTTGAATTATAAGCACCCAAATCAATTCATTTCAAACCCATAAATCCAAACGCAACCTTAACATTAGAGGGAACCACTTTGTTTGCCTCTTACAATATTAGCCAACTATGTTCAAATATTGTTTACCCTACTCATGAGATGGATTTAAATAAGTCAATTAGGATAACAGAAAAGGTCAGGAAGATCAATATAAAGCTCTTACAACATAAAAACATTTTGACACCAACTTCAACTAGGTCAGTTCCATTGCTCGAATAAATCATTTATTTCTATCTTCACCTAAGTGACTCTTACCAGTGAATAGAAAAGGTGAGCAAAGAGAACGACAAGCGCAAACTGAATAGTTGCATACAGCTAGGCAAATTTTCTCCTCACTAAGCATAAATTGCAGAGATATATCAGTATAGTATCAAAGATGCAAAACTCATGCTGGCAAAAGGGTCAACCAAAACATAAAACTTAAAAACTTTAGCTTCCCATAGTCGTTGATGTCATGGATGCAAGAAGACCCAACAATCAGGAAAATGGCAGGGATATGGCAATTGCACCTGATCCCATTTTCGTAGCCTGCGGACAGAAAGCACATATAAGGAACATTGGTAGGCTTGAAAGTGTTGTACCTAGAAGTCACTAAACTTACCAAAAGCTGCTCTAGAAACAGAAATAAGCCAGCATGCTGACAATGACTAGAACAGGAACATCCCGCCAAACTCTGATAAAAGTCACATTGCTTTAATTATACAGATTTGAACATCATCTCAAATTAAAATTAATAGAAATTCTTAAATTTAAATGATATCAAGATAAAATTAAGGTTGACAACAAGCTAAAGACCAACATCTAGTAATCAGCAGTTTACTAATGGGATTGTTCTCAAATCCCAATCGATTGAAATTGATTTCAATTGAGTTAAAAACCTGTTTGGTACAGATTTTTGCAAGTTAAAAGCTAATAATCAAGAAAGCATAAGCTAAAAACCTCTCTCCTGCACAAAATCATAACAAACTAAAGAGGATGGTGACAGAAGTACACAGACACTTAAATGAGCATAAAGCATGTAAAAGAGAAATATAAGCATAATTTCTTTTTCTTCCATTGTGAAAATTCCCGGTAGGTATTATAAAAATACATAACCACTCATTTTGTTTCTCACCAAATTTTACCATTTTAAGTTAGAAACTACATTGCAAAACAAGATAGTTCTCTTTCTCTTCATTTCTTATCATTTCTCATCAAATCATGGACACATCCATAGAACCCGTTAAACCCATAAAACTATGCTCTTTTACAATTCAAAGCTTGTCTCATAACTTGCACAAAACACAAACCCATAAAAGAACGTAATAGAATTACCTAAAAGAAGAAGCATGTGAAACTATCATCACATCATTCACACCAAGACCACTCAATTTCTCAGCATTCCTCATCTCCTTCCCATTATAAAACAACTGTTGTTGCTGATTCGACACTTGAGCCTGCTCACAAACCAAAAACACCACAAATCTCAATCCTCACACACACACACACACACACACATGTGCATGTATAGAGCGAGCAATCGATCTTACCTCGACCTTAAGCAGAGCTTTCAAGTTCTCAACACGTCAATGAGATCAAAATTCACATTCAAACAACTAATAATCTCAAAAAAACGAAGTTGAACTAGGGTTTTGGAGATTACAGATTCGTCACAATCAACTTCTAAGGTGATGATCTGTTTGTCACCAGCCATTACAGTGATCTTCATCTTCTTTTTTGATACGATTCGATGTTTTGAATTATTCTTGTAAACAATGTGTTAAGATCATCATTCACACCAAGACCACTCAATTTCTCAGCATTCCTCATCTACTTTCCATTATAAAACAACTGTTGTTAATGAATCGACACTTGAGCCTGCTCACAAACCAAAAACACCACAAATCTCAATCCTCACACACACACACACACACACACATGTGCATGTATAGAGCGAGCAATCGATCTTACCTCGACCTTAAGCAGAGCTTTCAAGTTCTCAACACGTCAATGAGATCAAAATTCACATTCAAACAACTAATAATCTCAAAAAAAAAAAAACGAAGTTGAACTAGGGTATTGGAGATTACAAATTCGTCAGATTCCTCAGTTTCACACAAGAGATTCAAAGCTTTCAAAATCAAGACACAGAGCATGAAGAAATGGATACGATCAGCAGACAATCGCTTAGTGTAGAGAGTGTAAGTCCAAATTCCAGCCATAGAAGTGTAAATCAAGAAGAAGAAGAAGTAAATCAAAGGGAGATTAGTTTTACCACCAGACAAGTAGTCGCGACGATTGGATTTGGAGGCGATGTTGTGCATTTCAGATGGAACATTCACGGAGATTTCGAGATTAGGGACGCAATTGTCGAAGAAGGGAGTTAATAGATTGGGATTGGTGAGGCTGATTTTGAAGAAGTAAAAATTGGAGGTTTGGAGTTTGTCGAAGGTGAAGACGAGTTTGATGAAATCGGATTCGAGAGGGCATTTGAGATCGCCCTCGGCGATCTGTTTGAGGACGTGAAGCCAGGAATCGCCAGAGGAGAGGAAGAAGCCGATTTTGGAGGGATCGGGCTTGGGAACCAGTCTCGACGACGAGGATGATGATGAAGAAAGTGGAGATTCGTGGTGGGTTTTGAAGGTTGGGTTGAAGGTTAAAGCCAAGGTTGGTACTGACTTGCAAATTGAATAGTTCTGAGACCAACTCTGGGTTGATTTTGTGTGTTAGGGCTGAGAGTTGGGGCATTTAATTATTATTATTATTATTTTTTTTTTTGGTGAATTGGTGCTGGAAAATTTTAGGTTCTGTTTAGTAGAGTTCTGAAACGTTAGTTTCAGAGTTTGATTTGAATATATTGTTTGTTTATGATTTTAAAAGTTAATTCTACACTTACTTTTGAAAACGCAATCGAAAGCAGGAAAATTTTGGCTAATCAATCGTTCTATCGGTCGTCTGAAACAGAGCAATATTATTTATTTTTTTATTTTTTTATTATTCTTTTTTTTTTTGCAATTGATATATGTTAATTTTTATATATTCAATAAAAAATAATTTTCGATTTTTTTTAAATTTTTTATAAGTTAGAATTTTGAGTTGCGTGTTTGGTTATAAGTTGTAAGTTTTGTATCAAATATCATATGTCACATCAAAAATTTTCCACTCAATTCAAAACTCTTTTCAAAACTCATTTACTAAACAAATTTTTCACACTCAAATCATAATTTCAAAACTCACAAACTCAAAATACAACTATATTCTCAAATCATATTTAACTCTACTAAACGCAACCTTATTTTGGCGCTATTTTTTTTTTGTCGTACCTTTCACGACATGCATTGTGTGTCGTAAAAAGGTAATACTTTTAACGATAGGCGATGTGTGCATCGTCAAAAGTGTAATACTTTTAACGGCGGGCATTGTATGAGCTGTGAAAAGTGCAATACATGTCACGGTTGGTGTATGCGTGTCGTGTATAGTTGACGTATTAACGGCATGCCATATGTATATCATAGAAAGTTTTATTATTTACGGCAAGCATTGCAAGCTGTAAAAAAAATCATCGTTACTACCATTCACGGCCTACGCAATAGACACGTCGTGGTTGGAAAATTATTTACGACATGCAAAAAAAGCAAGTCGTAAAAGTGAGAAATCACGACGTGCATTTATTGTATGTCGTTGATATGATACCGTAAAAATCCAGTTTTGTTACAGTAAAGGGACATAATAATCTCTCAACAATTAATTCCATCACTAAATTTTTAATTCCATGCATTTTCCTTCCATTCTTGTCTAACTAGTCCCCTTCACAAGCTTTCATAATTAAACACTCTACGTGGTCCTCCCTCACTATTAATCTGGCCTGAGCTCCCTATCCTTTCTCTTTACGCAACCTGCAAAACCATCACTCCCTTCCCTTCTCACGACTCCCACTGTCTCCAGTGGGTATGGCTCCCTGCTATACTCTTATTCTCTATATTTTTTTATACTTTATTTTTTGAATTCCATTCTAGACTCACAAAGATAATTTAAATCGATCATCTCATAATTCCAACAATTTAGGCCAAGTTTGGCATGTCTTGAAAAAGACAAAAAGTCAAAAAGTCACTATCCTACTTAAGTCACATCATCTTATTTAAGTCACATCACCTCTCTAACACATCACTTCAAACCCAACCCAAACCCAACCCATATTTCATAAAAAGTCAAAAAGTGCACTTATTTAGATCATCCCAAACAACCCCTTAGTTTAGTTATGCAAAAAATTAATTTCATTAGATATCACTAGATATATAAATAAATTACATCTTATTTTTTAAAAGGGACAGTAATTGTGAGTTTAAACTTAAACGTTTCATTTTATAAAACAAAAAATAATTTGTTCATACATTCATCGATATCCGATGAAGCTAATTTTTTGCATTGATGGTCTTCGTTATGAGGTTTATAAGATAAACGATTTAAATTATCATTTTGGACCCAAACTAGAGTTCAAAAAGTAAAATATGAAAAAATATGGAGGATAAAAGAAGGGAAATTATATTTTCACACACCGAATTATTTCAGTGCACACACTTAATAAAATATTATTTTAATGACAATTATACCCTAAACTAAAATGACTATAAAGGACATCCACTAGCACATATAATATTATATGAAAATATTCTCTGTACACATCTTAAAAAAAATTAAATTAAATTAAAACCTAATTTTTTCATTTTTGTCACTTTGCTTGCTACACACGCTATACTCCTCTATTGCTTGTAAAACAATACTCGCATAACAACTCTCATATTACTTTAATTTCTAGATTTATACTTTATTAATGATGGAAAGGTAAGTTTTTTTGTGCGTAACTTTTTTTTTTTTTTCCTTTCGTGGTTTTCAGTTGGACAACCAGTGCCGAATTATTTCATTATATTTGAACATCAATTGTCGAATTATTTCATTATATTCAGACTTCAATTTTCAATTTTTTTAAATTTTTTTTTGGAACAAATTTGTCGAACTAATCACTTTTATTCAAAAGTTATGTTTCGAATTTAATGCATAATTTCGGAAAATCAGTGCCGAAATTCCCAAACTGAAAAACATTATAAAAAAAATTTAAAAAAACAAGGGTTTTATGGCAATGGAGTGCACAAAGATCTAGAAATGGTAAATGCAATAACAAAATAGAAAGATGTCTCATCTTCAACAATATTTTGGAGGGTTTTTAATGATGTTTTTAATGGAGATTCAATAAGGTCTTCAATGGAGGATTTTGTTGTCACGACCCAAACCCGGCCCTATAGGTTTAGCACCGTAACCGGCCAGTAATCCGAGATTACCGAAGGCCTGCTTAACAATAGTACAGTAAAACAGAGTACAGGGCCTGGCAGAAACCAATACAGTAATTAAACAATGCCCAATGAGCTGTGATAGTCTGTATGCAAAAAGACTTTCCAAACATATTTACATTCAGTGGAAAAGTATGCACAATATGTACAATCATTCAGAATAGGGACTCAAATCCCTATATAACAGTACAGTAAACATTCAGTCTATACAATCTATTCGGTTATTACAAAACAGCAAGACAGTACAGAAGGGGGAGTCCTAAAACACCCCTAAGCCTTAGCATGATAGGCTTGGAACCTCGCAGTGAGGCACGGTAGTTAGCTTGACAAAACTGGAGTAACCCTAACGCTCCTAGCCGCGGTCTAGTGCCTGTACACCTACATATATATATGAGCAGTGAGCTAAAGCCTAGTGAATAACATAATGCGTAAAGGGGTTAAGAATGAATTTCCTTACAGTAATGAAAACGGTCCATTAAATCAGTATTTCAGTCGTTCAGTCAGTACAGTCATATGTGGTACATCCATTAGCATAACAGTACAGTAAACAGTAGGTCTTAGAAGACCGAGCAGTAAATGATGGCCATCAGTCAGTAACAGTAGTGGTTCCAACGAGGGAACCGGCAGAGATTTCTGTCACAGTAACAGTAAACAGTAGGTGCTAAGGATGCCACAATACAGTTCAGAATATAGGACGTACATTCAATCAGTTAACAGTAATCAGTTCAGAAAGCAGTACAGTTCAATTGTTCAGAAGATAATCATTTTGAACATATCTTTACACAGATGTTACTCACAGAGTTTGGGCTACAGTATACTAGAGCGTCTCCTCAGAAAGCCAATCCTACACAGTTGACAGATTGAACACACACTAAGCTACACAGTTGGGAAAGATAATAACTTAATCCCTAATTTGCCTCGGTGTGTTCTACATCTATGTCCTCATTAAAATGTCTTAAACTAGGTCTAAGAATGCCTAGAATGGGATGAGGATGCAAAGATGTACTTTTAAAAGCATTTTCAGATTTTTCAGAAAACAGGGGTCACGCTCGAGCATAGGTCACTCCGCTCGAGCGGACATGCAGACAAAGGTACCCGCTCGAGCGGCAAATCCCCCGCTCGAGCGTACTGCAAAAGTACTGGATGGGTGAAATCTCCGCTCGACGGACGCTCGACGCCCGCTCGAGCTTGAGACACATGACTCCGCTCGAGCGCCCAGTCCTCCGCTCGAGTGGATTGTAAAACAGTGCAGAGATACTGGATGCTCGGATTCCACGCTCGAGCGTCAATTTCCCCGCTCGAGCGGGAGTGCAAAATCTGGAAAACCCAGATTGCATCTCCAAGCCAAAAACCAAGTTCAAAAGCATAATTTTCAATCCTCTTGGGCTAATTTCTGGAAAAACGCTTGTAAACACATGGAATATCATGATTCAAAGCTCAATTGAGAAATCAAAGCCCAAGGGTGTTTAATTCAAACCCAATTTCAAACCATTTTTCAAGAACAATCCTCAAACATGACATGCATGATCATTAAACGACTTTCAAGCTTCAAAACATGCTCTACTGAGCCCATTGATTCACAAACAAGATGAAAACATGACCTACACTCAAAACATGGACATGCATGTGACAATTTACCATGCACTCAACTCAAAATCCAACAATACTAACATGCATGCATGAATTATGCTCTATTTCAACATGCTAGAACTAATCCATGGCTCAATTCTCAACTTTGACATAAACCATGCAAGAATCAAGCTCAAACACATCAATAAAAGTTGATTTCTCTTACCTATGTCTTCAATTAAAGGCAAGGGAACTAGATTAGCAACCACACTTCAATTTCCTTCAAATTCTAAGCAATATTGAGACGAAATCAACTCCTCAAGTCTCTCTCTCTCTATGGTCGGCTAAGGGTCTTCACAATAGGGCTGAAGAAGTGTTTTGCTCAAGTGTAATGAAGCTCACAATGAATCAAGTAGTGGCCACTAAGGCTAGTTTGGTAAATAAGGCCAACTTAAGCAATTGATCAATATTTAATCTAATTAGTCATACTAGATCACATTTTAGATAAATACACCATAAATTCACATAAATTACAATGATCAAGATACACTAATCAATTTCGGATTCGGCCGCCGATAAGGTCTTCAATTAGCAGTTTAAACACTAAAACATGAACAGATAGTCAAACAGTCAAACAGATGGATTATGCATTTAAACAGATACAGTCAGTCAATTAATTCTAGATTCCAGTCAGTCAGTTCAGTATTTTAATCAGTTCAATTGTCAGTCGTAATCAGTTCAGTTTGACAGTAATCAATGTTTATCGGTAAGCAATGGTGAGGGTTATTACATTTGTCTTCACTTCACACTGTGATCTTCAATG